AGGATGCAGAAAGGAACAAAAATAAGCAAATCATATTTTATGTCTCTAAAACTTTGTCATTTTCTTGGGCTTGCTTATATGAGATCTTTTACATAATAAAATAACTTGAAAAAATAAAGTTGCTTCATCCTAACACATACCTCCAAAAATGGGAGGTGAAAATTATTATTTAGTTGTTTGACAATTCTTGGATAAACCTGGAATGGCATAAATGCTAATCAATACTTTTTAATCTACAGTTCTAACCACTTGGCATCACAATCAATAATATCTCTGTATGGTTAGATCTATTAAAATCTCTTGGGTTCAAGAAGTTGCAGCTTCAATTCCACTTACAACTTAGCCAATCAAATAACTCCCACCACCAAAAGAAAGTCTGCCCCAATTAAAAAAAAAACAACATTCAATAGCTTTTCAACTGTATAATACATAAATTAACTGAGGAAGAGTCGAGTTTCATGCTTAGTACAGAATGTGGGTATTTTTACCTGATATAAAGCCAAAGAATGACCATATCTAACAATCACATTGTTCACAGAATGGTTTAATGGAAGCCATTCCCTAGAAGCAAGGTCATACCTACAAAACAAACAGATCAAATTTTTATCCAAATGACAAAACAGAATATCTTGTACTCTTTTATTTGTAACAATCCAGTTTTGAGATGTTCATTAAATCAAGGACACAGGGAGGCACCAGTTACCCTGGCAAACACTACTGACACCTGAGCCCACTAGGTATCTGAAAATTCAGGAAGGGACGGTGGACTACATAGCACTGGGACAAGAAGGAAATAAAAGTCTGGTGGAAGCTTCTAATGCCTCTTTTGAAAATCTCTTCTGTAGTCTAAATCACTTGAAGATTGCATCATACTAAAGGGACTTCAACTTAATTTATTACAATAACTTTTCCTTCAATACATCCTAAAAAACTGATGATAAATAAAAGGAAATTACCGGAAAATTTCCCTTTTCTTTCATCTAATTGATTTTAGTCATACTTTTAAGGAAGGCTGAATATATTATAGCATTTCAATTATACTATAAATTTACATACTGATCTTTTGAAATACAAACATGCCAAAATGAAAATAATTTGATACTCTTGCCATACAATTTATACTTACCCTTGCATTACTGAATAATCATATTCAACATCTTAACATATTTGATTTTGAGTATTTTGTTTGTTTTCGAGAAAAATATCACTGAGTTGCTATTATAAATCATACACATTCATTATGAAGAAAACAACTAAAAGTTTAAAACACAACCCCACATTCTATTACCTAGAAATAAATATTATTAACAGTGAGTAAACAACATTTACTCACTGTTAATAATATTTATTATTATTAAGGGGAAAAAGATTAACAAAAAATTTTTATATAAAGGGATAAATCCTTAGATGATACTTTTAAAATATTGATTTTCTTTTTACACAGAGGGAGGCAACATTGTGTGGGATGGGGGTGGTACTAGGGAGTGAATCCAGGATCATTCTACCAATAAGCTACATCCACAGCCCTTTTTTTTAAAAAAAATATTTTTAGTTGTAGATGGACACATTACCTTTGTTTATTTAGTTGCTGTTGTTTTTAACATGATGCTGGGAATCAAACCCAGAGGCTCATGCATGCTAAGCAAGCCACAAACCCAGCCCCATCCACAGCCCTTTATAAAATTTTACTTTGAAACAGGATCTTGCTAAGTTTCCCAGGCTAGTGTCAAACTTGTTACCCTCCTGCCTCAGCCTCCAAAGTAGCTGGGATTACAGGTATGTGGCACCCACACACAGCTAAAATTATTAATTTTAACTTTTATAGAATTAACAGCCAAAGAAAAAACAAAGGTCTTGTTGTACTTTAAGTAAATGTTTCATTTCTCTGAGAGTATACCTGGATAATCCAACTTTTTAAAAAATTATCAAAAACATCCCTTTTTAAAAAAAATACTTGGGAGGAGGGGCAGAGCCACCACCCACACCTGCAAGGTAGGCAGACCTGCGACTGACCAGGAGAACAGGCACAGAGGCCCGCCAGCGAGGTAAACACATCATCCCAATTGGAGGAAGGGCCCAGCTGCCGCCCGCAAGATAGGCAGACAGGGCATCCCGGAGTAGGGGCCCAGTGGCCCGCCAGCCTAGTCGAAAGATCACCCCAATTGGAGGAGGAGCACA